GGGCGGGCGGGCGTCCCCGCAGCCAAGGGCCTGGCTCAGGGCCCCCCTCCCGCAGGGCGCCTTCGGCCGGACGCCCCTTTACCGAGCTGCCTTCGGGGGCCACCTGGAGGCGGTGGAAGTGCTCCTGAAGCTCGGAGCTGACCCCCGGGTGTACGCCGACGACGGGAGCACCCCTGCGCAGGTGACAGCACCCCCCAACATGGTCCGGAGCCAGGTGGCCCTGTGGAGGCTGGCCCTAACTCTGCAGGGCCCTTTCCCTGCCCCAGCGCTTCAAGCCCCTGCTTTGAACTCAGGGTCACCCGCAGGCAGGAGCGCAGCTCCCGGTGTGTGAGCAGCCGGCTGGCCGGGGGCTCTCTCTGGACCCTGGTGGCCGCCTTGGGAAGTAGGTGGGGAAACTGAGGCTGGCTACTCCAGGAGTGGTGTGCAGTGAGGGCAGCACTGGGCCCACCCACACGGCCCCTCCCTCTCAGCATTTACTGTTTCTGCAAGCCCACCGTCCTGGGGTCTGGGGCAGCTGCCCCCAGTGCCGGGGAGCCGGCTGGGGCCTGTGGGAGCAGCTGCATGAAGTCGAAGGGCCAAATACCACTTCCTTAGTTACTTTGAATGAATCTGATTTGAACTGCGGGCTTTCTCCCATCTCAGCCACATCCTCCCATCCCAGAGGTGAAGCCAAGCGATAGGCTTGGGGTCTGCTGGTGAAACCCTGCTTCCATGCCGCGGGCACCCGCGTCTGGGCCCCGCTGCCACCGCTGCTGCAGGCCGCCTCCCAGGATGCCGCTCTGCGGCCCCTCTGTCCGCAGGACCCTCGGCTCCTGTGGTCGGTAGCCGGGATCGGGAGGAGGAGCAGGAGCACGTTTGGCTTCACGCCGCTCCTACTCTCCCCTTCGACAGGTGGAACGTGAGGCCAGGAGGACGGAAGGGCCTGGCTGCTTCCCCAGAAGGGGCACACAGGGAGGAGCCCCCCTCAGCTGGCCACACGCCACACCCACACTGGTCCCCAGGACCACGAGGGGCCGAGAGGCATGCGGGGGCTGTCTGAGGGGGGAGGGGGCACGGTGGGCCACGGGGCTGGAGCCCGAGGAGAAGAGCTCTCTTGGGTGGGGGTGGCCAGGGGGCCACAGTGCAGGAAGGACAGTCTTCCACTAACGGTGCTGGAGCCATGGGCAAAGGTGAACCATGACCTCACACCTTTTAGAAAACTGACTCAAAATGGATCAGGGCTTTAAATGTAGAATGTACTACCATAACACCTTTAGAACACAGGAGAAAACCTTTGGGACCTATGGCTTGCAAAGTGTTCTCAGACAAAAGGCACAATCCATAAAAGAAAAAAAACCAACAGATGGACTTCATCAAAATGTAAAACTTCTGCTCTGTTAGGAAGACGAAAAGACAAGCCACAGGCAGGGACAAAATCCAGACAAACCACACACCTAGCAAAGGACCCGTACCTAGAACACACAAAGAATGAGCAGTGACTCGCCCACACAATCGGTTATAAAGTGAGCAAAGGACGTGAAGAGAAATTTAACTGAAGAGGACAGCATGACTCAGATGGACATGAGATGTGCAGCATCCTCACACAGCTGGCAGAAGAGCTGAAATTAAAAACGGCGACGACAGCACGTGCCGGCGAGGACGCAGAGGATGGCTCATAGGAAAGCCGGGGCCCTTGGCTACACTGAATGCACACGTACCATGTGACTCCGCAATCATGCTCCGGAGCATCTACCCACTGAAATGAAAAGCTTGTCCACACAAACAGGTGTACCCAAATGTTCACGGCAGCTTCCTGTGTGGTCGCCCCGCACCGGAAACCACTTGGGTGTTGCTCAGTGCAGGAAGGGTTTAAACACCCTGGTCCACCCGCAGGGACCCCTGTGACACAGCCCACCTGGCTGACTCTCAAGGGCATCATGCTGAGTGAAGAACCTAGTCTCATGAGGTTCATACTGCATGATTCTTTGACGTAACATTTT